TTTTTTCAGTGTACATATAATATAGTTAATATAGCAATATCTACAGTATAAATATCTTCTAGACTATATGATGATATGATGACTAAAAAATGCCCACCCAGGATATCTGCCAGCCCACCCTTCTATAGCCGTCAAGAACCGGGCCTGGTCCCAGTGCTGTAGGACTGATTCACTACTGTTGTTTAACTATAATAATTGGCATTCAAGTGAACTACATTTACAATCGCACTTGGTTATTGAACATCTTATGTGAGATTGTGAGTAATAAGTTTTCTGAAATGTTCTGTAGTGAGAAATAGAGTTCATTACAGAGATCATTGTTAAGATGCATGTGCAGGTTTCAGATGAATAAAGCAACTTCATCTTTGTCAGTAGGTCAATGAATGCCACATTCACTGAGGAGAGAAACCCAGTGGACTTGGGGAAATGGCCAGTGCTGGTGAAGTGAAGAAAATTAAAGAGGAAATCTATAGAATAGTCAACCTGCAACTTCCTGTATGAGTTATGACTGCCAAGCTATTCGATATAATGAATTTACTACTGAAATGCTGAATGAGGTCAATACAAAACCTAATAACTTCACAGACATCACAACTGAGAAACATGTTGTTAGGTAAAGAAACACCGTTTAAATGCTTCTGCGATCCATACACTTGTATCTGCTGCTCTGGTGAAGTTATCAATCCCATATGGAGAAGATCACTAGCTCAGCAAGATCGATAAGACACTGATCGGTTGAAGTATTTCTCTTTTGTCTTCACGACCTCTTTCTGTCTTTCAACAGTGTGGATTTCTTGTCCCATAGTGAGTGTGATCACATCAACACTAGTTCATTAGTACAATAGGGATTTCCCATTACACTGGACTTTCCCTTTTTATTAAATTAAACCTTAAGTCACTTGTACCGTGTAATTGGTTATTTAGGCAACACTTTCTTAGCATTTCTCTAAATTATTAAATCCGCCAAGTGACGTACTTATAAAACAATTTTGTGTTCTTACACGTTACCCTTTAAGGATAATGTAATATTTTTGGTCTTGAAAAAGCAGTTGCACAATCATTTGCTTGGTCAATCAAAAGCATCCCACATTGCATAAGAATCTAATATAAGCTGGGCAATGAATGTCCAAAAGTGAATGAATTTCCATTTAGGGAATGTTCCCAGGAACTCTGAACCTCAAAACCGTAAATAAAATGGAAGAAAATATTTTCCGCAATGACAATGGATCTCTGTCCTCATCAGCCGGCTAGAGATACATCATTGATTAACAGCACAGGAATAGAGAACTAAAACATGTCATGCGAATGTTTGCGACTGTCACTTTTGTTGACATGAACAACAGCAATTGATGGCAGTGCAATAAAATTTCAACGTTATGCTAATGAGTTGTGTGGGAATGCAGTGATTCGCCAACTGATACAGCAATCAACTAAAAAATAGCTTCCAGCAACAATCAGTATGAACTTGTCGACTTGAAGCTATTTATTCGTTGTCAGTGTGAATGGGTCCTAGTTATTTAGTGTAGGTCAGTTTGTTTCCTACAAACATGTGTGGTCAAACTGACCTGACCTAAAGAGTGAAGTTTACATTAGTGCTGAATTGTTATGTGAAGGGAGAAACACACATGGACAGTTGGACCACAAACACTGTGTTCGGCATGTCAACGCAAAATAATCAAAAGTCCACAAGTCCTACAGGGCAAATATCTTCTCCCCTTCTTCTCACCTCTTTCCAAACATCACACAAACTCAAGAACGTGAAGTTCAAACAGTCCACTCCCCCACATTTGAGCTCTGAAGTTCATGTCTTACATCTTGGCTGATGATGGAAACAGGGAAAATGTATTTTTGCCAAGAAGATATATATAGAACCACAAAGCAAAAGGGAGTGATTTCAGCATATTGTTATGATGGTTTGACTTCTACAGTCTAAGCTAAAATGGTGGGGGTTGGGATAGGTGGACAGCCCTTTGTTTCTAGATGGGTGTCTGGTGTATCCACTTAACACCAGTTCCTGTCAGAGCAAACACTGAAAGCAGCAGCCTTCTGCAGATGGAGCACAGCTTGGACTAGCGTTTGTCTAATGAGTGATCACTCACAGGCCTGTCAAACATGCCATCTGGAGGAGGACCTCTGGTCTGCCGTGAAATATGGAGTTTGTTGACGCTCTGTGTTGAATCAGTCCCTTAGTGCATATGTTTGGTGATGACTGTCGTAAAAATAAATGCAGACAGAAGATGACAGTGATATAGTTATTAGAAAATGCATGGGAATTTTAATCTTGGTACGCATTATGGAAAGATGCATTCCTTCAAGCAACATTACATTTCTGAAGAATTTGCTCCACAATAAACATATTAACTCAAATCATGTGCTTCTTCCAGTGACAAAGAGCTCACAGAACAGACTGGAACAAATGTTTCTTTTTTTTTTTTTTTTTCTAACAGCCTTATGTTGAAAGATGTCCTAAATAGGAAAAAGATCCCGGAATCTCCAGGGTACACCCATTACACAACAAAAAGGGTAAAAATGTCTTATTTGATTTTTAATCCACTGATCCATATCTAAGCAATGTGGGGTAAGATGTTGCCCTCACATTAAATTTTCCTCTTGATCATGCACACACACTCGCACACACACACACACACAGGTTTGTTTTTATGGTTTATGGGGACTCTCCATAGGCGTAATGGTTTTTATACTGTACAAACCGTATTTTCTATCGCCCTACACCAACCCTACACCTAAACCTACCCTCACAGGAAACTTTCTGCTATTTTAGATTTACAATACATGATGTTTTATTAACAAAGTTTGAGAGGAGCACGTTCAGATAATTAACCTAATTAACACGAAAGGACCACAATCAGTAATCAACCCAATTAACAAGATAAGAGATGTGTGTATATATACACAGCAGACTTACCTCTGTTCTTGACAGTTTTCCAGCATTCCTCCGCCACCCCTTCCCCGCACTTACAACTATTTCTGTCCTAACCTGGGGGGGAGCGCTCTGTGTTCGGGCACATACCGAGCTAGGAGCCCTCTCTCCGGACATGGGGGAGTGCTCCGGGTTCGGGAAGAATTACCGAGATCTGAGCCCTCTCCCCGGACAGCACGCCAAACACGCATAACCTTTACTCTGTTTATTATATGTAAGTGTGAACTCCATTCTGTGTGATTTATAAGCTTGTTTCCTCATGGGGACCAAACAAGGTCAAAATTTACTGGTATTACTATACTTGTGGGGACATTTGGTCCCCATAACGTGATGAATACCAGGTACACACACACACACACACACACACACACACACACTCATAGAATATTCAAGAATATTTTTTTTCTTCATAAAAGATTACATACAACAAAGAAAGCATGTCACAATAGCAATAATGATTATAAAATCCGATTTAATAATTCAACAACAGGTTTTGACAAATGATAATGATGAAATTGAAAGATTTGATTTATGGAGTTATTTATAATTCCATAAAAATGGAATCTTTATCATTTGTCATAACCTATAATTATGTTAAAATATTCAGAGTTTATAGTTATTATTGTCATTGTGACAGCCACACTTCGTTGTAAACTGTGACAAATTATACCCAAAAATTCTTCATACAGTCGACTACCAGTAAAACTGATACAAATTTGGGACCAAAAATTATTCAGACCGAGTCTGGGAAAAAAAAAAAGTTGAGGTTTGCATGAAGCTGGGTGACATAATGCCCAGGAGACTATATGCTGTCATTAAGGCTAAGGGTCACCCGACAAAGTATTGATAGTTGTGTAAATACTG